AATACTTATTTTATCCGCTATAAATAAATAAATAAATAAATAAATAAATAAATAAATAAATGAGTTTAGGAAAAAAGTTTTTGTTTATTTTACTACTTGTAATTTTGTATGAATGTAACGCTGTGGTGATATTTTAGTTTATTTTTATTGTTTTTATGTGAAGTACTTCATGATTTTTATCTAAGACAGATTCTATATGAATAAACTTTAATTAATTACTTAGAGATGAACTCATACAAACTTCTTTGGAATGTGTTTATTGTAAAACCTTCATGCTGCAGCTATAAAATACATAAAAAGACATTTCAGAWATGCAACAAAGATGATTCTGAGAGTTTTACTGTTTAAGGACGGTGGTTTTAGGAAGCAAAACATTTTATACAAGAGACAAAAAGCTGGACAACAAAATAAATTATAATTTTATCAGTCTGTGTGAGCACGATGATCGAGAGCTTCTTCGGCTGAAAACAACTGAATTTTGTCCTTAAAGTGCTTAAATAGTTATAGAGAAGATGTAAAAGGAATGCAGCGTCTAACACCTATAAGGACACACAGTAGTAGACCAAGTAAAAAAAACTTCTACTTTAACAATTAATATATTTAAATAAAAAAGCCAAGAATCAGTTGAGGACAACCAAACAGATAAAACTTGTTGTAATGGACTTTAAGTAAAAAAAAGAAGAAGAATGATTTACTCCTGTAAGTGTGGGATAAATAGTCTAAGTCTAGTTGTTTGTGTTTGTGTGTCAGCTGCGTGGAGGAGATTCTTAAAGCGGATCCTGCTCAGCTCCAGGCTGAAGACTCTGTGTATGGAGGGACACCACTGCATTGGGCCAAAACCGCTGAGGTTACAGATATTCCATCATGTTTTTAGTTGTTAAAAGACATTTACATGTTTACACTGTGATGCATCTGTTCAAAAACTAATTATTTTTAATTAACCTGCTTTAGCATCCTAATTTGTATTACCTAACAACACAGCTCCCTGACAGTGACGTTTGCCTGGTTRGTCGTGTTGTAGGGTTTGGTTTTTAAGAAACACATCTGCTGACTTCATATCTCCTGTCTCTGTGACAGATGTGTCGTATGCTGCTGGAGTGTGGCTGTGAAATAAACTACCTCAGTAAGACCGGAGAGAGCGCCCTCCAYATTTTGACTAAAAAGGGTCGCTTCGAGGCGGCCATGGTGCTGCTCACCCATGGAGCCAATGCCAACCTGAAGGGTCAGGACGGGAACACAGCTCTACACTTTGCCATGAAGGTATGTGCTCATGCTCATTTCATAATTTTACAATCCCTTACTGATACTCCATGTTTCTATAAATTGAAAAACAAAATAGCAGCATTAGATAATTATATTTCTACAAGACACAGACTACTATGATTACATTTTTGAGTGATTACAAACTTTTTATTAGTTTTTATGAAACACTTTTAAATCCAAAAGTTACCCAGTTTATCTATTTTAACTCAGAGCTGCATAACTTTATGTTTTTGTAGAGCTAATTGTTATTCTGATGTCGCTACTAAAGAGTTGTAATGGCGTCAAACTGAAGAGTTTAAAGGGATCCC